TCTCTCTCTCTCTCGTCTCGCTCTCCGGCTGCTAAGTCGCACTGGAATTAAGTTCGAGAATGCCGTCCAAGCCATCTTATAGGGTCGGCCCCCTCTGCCACTTGCCTGTGGCATCCTTCGGCAAGGTCGGCCACTTGTTCAGCTGCATCATCAACGAGGAGGTGTCGTGGACGAATCGCTCGCAGCGAGCCCTGCCACCTGCAGGTGCATTTGATTCTGCAGGGTTTGGTGTGCCCGGCCACTTCAGGACTTTGCCTGCTCGGCTGCTTCAGGTGGAGTGTGTGCCACCTTTGCCGCCCGGAGTTTCCGCTCTTCGAGTGCGATCCGAACTGGCATACTAAGCTGTGCGGCAGAAGGTCGTGGGTCGTGAACCCCACGGGAGCCTGGGCATCTCCGGCATGAAGCGATGAAGCGTGCGCGAGCCCCGACCCCCCTCCCAGCCAGTGGCGATCCTGACCACAGGGCCGTGTCGACAGGTCGGCCGCCTCCTGAGCTGCTTCGCCGAACAGAGGCCGTTTCGAGCCATGGCGGCTATGCCTCCCCAGTTCCCCCAGCGGCCGAAGATGTGGCACCATGGCCCTGGCTACGCCAAGGCTTGCCTCCGAGTGGAAGCAGCAACATGGCACTTGAGAACAAGCACGCGGCCTTCACTTGGGGTGCTCGTCTCCGCCAGCCGTTGCCCAGTCAGCACCAGCTCAATCACGTCATCCTTGCAAACTTGCCATCCAGGACTCTCCATCGTGCAGCTGACCCTAAGAACCTCGAGAACGGCAATGCGCCAAGAGAGCGCAGCCAGGCAACAGAGTGTGCAACCTGCTGGCGAGGGGAAGTTTATTTCCATTCAGCATCCACTGCGAGACACACTCATTACACGACCTGCTCACGTACCTTGTTGAGATTCATGAGTGAGAATATTGAATGAGTGAGAATATTGAACCTATCCTGAAAACGAGAACACCCGCCGATCGTACCTCTGCTGACCATCTCCCGGAACAGCATGCAGGCATACATCTCCGTCAGCACCTCAAGAGAGCAAAGCCGAGCTCTACAAATGCACCACGAAGTACTCGATGGGTTGTGGGGGTGGGTTGTCGGCTCAATGCCCAAGATGGCTCAGAACACAGCCTACATGGCTCATTTCTGGTTGCTGCACTGTCTACGCATTAGCCATTGCATTCTTGCCTACATACCTTCTAACTTATAAGGCAATCCCGGAAAACCGCATATGGGGGGGACAAATCCCGACTTTCGTCAGGTGCCATGTCAGCCGACGGGCTGAAGACACCACATGTATGTGCAGAGAGAGAGAGAAGGCGAGAGAGATACGGATATATATACATATATACACACACACACGACGCATCTATACGCGAAGACAAGTGGTCGTGCGTAAAGCGCCATCACCTACAGCACTTTCGTCTTAATTGTGAGGAAGACGCGGAGACAGCCAGACGACCACCGAAATGGATGCCACAAGGACAAGCAAGCTGATGTCCTTAGGAGCGCACCGGAACACACAATAATACTGGTGAGTTCGGGAAAGATCAGACGCGTTTGCCGTTATTCCTGCCATGAAAAGCTTATGAAAGCTACTGTACCTACGCCTTCAACCTTATGCAGGGCCAATGCAGGGATTCTGATTAGAGCAGAAAGGGGCAGAACAAACACGAAGCAGCATGGTAGCTCGATCAGATACCCAGACGGATGCCGGCCTTCCCAAGATGATGCGTCAGCCTCGCCGTGATCTGCACAGAGCCGGCGTGGGCCACGCAGGTGCCACGGTCCAGGCCTTCGCGTCACAAGCAGCATCTTCAGCTTCGAACCGTTTCAAACGCAGCACCCGGGGGTCAGTGCCAGGGGCTTCAAGTCACAATCGACGGTGCAGCTCGCAACCAAGAAACCCAGGTCTTCGAAGAGATCCACGCGACGGACCCCGTAGACTGCCGAAGAAGTGTCCTGAAACGCATGCTTGAATGGCACCCCCAAGGTCTTGCAATTCCCAGTGGGAGCCTTCCACGCCCCAGTGGCAGATCTTGCAGGAGACCACCCCTGCAGTCCGGCATTTCAGCTGTCGCTAGCAATCGCATGTGCGACTCTATGGCCCATGCCGCCTCCGCAGGTTCATGGAACACATCCGTCCCATCAGGAGGGCAGTCCACCTGCACGTTGCTTCGAAAAGTACTAAAGCTACAAGGCCTGCCGATAAGACGCGGCACCGTGCAAAGAATGGCACTGTTAGGCACAAGGAGATCGTCCAGCACCATGAGCAGATCTTCATCCGCCTGGACCGACAAGTGCCAAAACCCGCACCAGAGCCTCTAAATCGTTTGCAGATGTTGCAGCTTTTGCCGCTTGCTCTCTCTCTCTCTCTCTCGCGGTCTTTTGCGCGGGTATAGGGAAAACTGAAGCCATTCGCTGCCGAGCACCGGAGCGATTGGTTCTAACTTCTTCTGCAATGTACATGTTGGAGATCTCCTGTGGACTTCGCTCTGCAAGCGAGCCAACACCATTGACTTGACAAGTGTAGGGCTAGCGGAGCCATTAGGCTAGTTGCCTCTATGGCCCCTCGTAAGGAGGGTCGCCCGGTGCACGGTATCGATCAATAGGGCTCCGAAGCGCATCCGACCCATAGTAACGACCGTTTCCTTCCAGCTCCCCGATAAGACCTGCCAGCTGTGCGATTCTCGCTTGGAGTGGAGTTGACTCTCAAACGAGCTGAAAAGACAGCATTGGCATAAGTCAAAGACAACCGGTAGCGAATGAAGGACATGATATGAGACCACAATCCCTTCATGCGGGACACTGATGGAAGCACAGTCCTACACCAACCACCCCCACAACGAAGAATCAAAAAGGCGTGAAGAGAACCGGACGAGCGTCAGTGGATTGCTGCTTTGGTTCCTTCCTCAGGCGGCTTCGTGGCCCCCATGCCCCGGGTGATGTCCGTGAGGATGTACCCAGGTGTCATGGCGTTGATCTGGAGGGCCGGGCCGAAAGAGACTACTTGGAGGTTCATGGGAAGTTGTAAATGGGGTTGTAAGTAGGGTAACTATATTTATAACCCATATTAGGGGACTTATAACCATACTTATAACTATCCATGAACCTCCAAGTAGCCGGGATAGGGAACTTTAGACTTGAGCGAAGCACAAGAAGCCGGAACCTTGAGGTCAGGATGGAGCCTGGCCAGGAGCATCGTGTAGGAAATGAGGCAGGCCTTCGACAGACCGTAGGGCTGCCGGCCGCGTGGCTCAGCGCCTGCCTCCTTCATGAAGCTATCCAGGGCTTCCCAGCTCACCTCTGGGTCCATGAGGAGCTGTCTCTCGTCCCCACTGGAGCGCGACACGTAATTGGGTCCCGATGCAGAAGCTGTGTTCACAATACGCCCGTCTTTTTGAAGCAGGGGCAAGAAAGCCTCGCAGACTCTCTTGGCGCCGTACGTGTTCACATCCAGAGTTCGCTCCATTGAATGATCGAAGCCAACGCCAGCATTGGTCACAATGCCATATAAGCTTGACTCTGCCCCATACTTCTGCTTCACCTCTTCAGCTGCAGCACGAACAGAGGCATCATCGGAGACGTCGAGGGACAGTGTTTCGAGGCGATCTGCGCCTAAGTGCCAGGAAGATGTCACCGTGTGCTACGCAATGGTGACCGCATCGGCGACTGGGTAACGATTGCAAACCGAAGTCACGTGATTGCAAAGCTCTGCTTTAAACGTCTCTTCACATGAGCTCTCATGAGACAGGATGCATTCTGGCCCGCACTTTTCCAAGATTGCACGCACAGCCTCCTCTCCACGGGCTGGATCCCGAGATCCGAGCAGTACGTGGAAGCCGTGGTCTGCGACCAGCTGCTGGCAGAGTGCGCGCCCGATGCCCTTGTTGCCACCAGTGACGAGCACACGCCGCAGCGCCGGCAGCGCCATGGCTGGAGACCAGGGCAGTGCACATACAAAGACGCAAAGGCTCAAGGCCACGCAGAGACTGCCCCGACCCCGTAAGGTCCGCGACATGGCGCCACAAAGACTCCGCGTATCTCCGCGCGTTTCGAGCCAGCATCACGACAGCAGCGAACTGCTTCTGATACTGATCCGAACGGAAATGCTAACCCTTGAACTAAACTTCTTGCTTTCCGGCCCAGGCGGTGCAGACCAAACCTACGGAATTTCGGAAATGCTACCCCGGCCTCGTCGTCTACCTGGATTGCATCACAGTCACACGCAGATGCTGCGGAGATTTGAAAAGACTTGACTCGACCCGTTGGGAAACAGTGCCACTCGTTCGGCGCATGTGTCCGCCGTTCTGCTGCGACTTCACAGCAAGATATTCGACATAGCGCCCAAACCCCGCCACAAAAAGACACCCAAGCCACAACCGAAAAAACACACATACCCCCACGAGAAAAACACCCTCTAGCAAGTGCCATGTGTTCCGCAGAGAGTGGCCCCCTCTCCAAGGACCCTGTTTCTCACGTGCCACGTGAGTTTAGCCAAAACCCCACAGAATTCCCTAGTGTCTCTCCAAAAACCTAATTTCTTCTGTTTAGACTAGGGGTAAACACTGAATTCCCTAGATTTTCCAAGTTGCATTTAGACACGGGGAAAACACAGAATTCCTTAGTTTCTCTCCAAAACCTCGTCTGTTCTAAACACCGACTTCCCTGGATTCTTTGTGCAGAGCAGGTTCCATTTAGACTAGGAGAAAACAGCTAACGCCCTAGTTTCCAGCCAAAAACCTACCTAGTCTGTCAAATTTGGACTAAAAGAAAACACTTAAATCCCTATTCTCTCTCCAAAAAACCTAGTCTTTCTGTTTAGACTAGGAGAAAACACTGATTTCCCTGATTTCTCTCCAAAAGCCTAGTGTATTCTGTTTAGAATCTAGAATAGGAGAGAAAACGAATTCCCTAGATTGCTTCCAAAACCCCAATCTATTTCATTTTGGACTACGAGAGAAAACTTTCCTTAGTTCCTAGCAAAAAACCTAATTTATTCTAGTTAGACTACGAAAAACCTTTCCTAGCTCTTAGCCAAAAACCTAGTTATTCTGTGTAGGCTAGGGGGAAACACTGAATTCCCTAGATTTGTTACCAAAACCTAGCCGGCTCCATTTAGGCTAGGAGAGAACACAGATCCATTTAGAATGTGAGAAAACACAGAATTCCCTAGATTCTCTCCAAAACCAGTCCATTCTGTTTAGGCTATAAGAAAACCATCGAATTTTGTATTCCATTTAGACTAGGAGAAAACACAGAATTCCCTACTTTCTCTCCAAAAACCTAGTCTATCCTGTTTGAAGTCGGAGAAAACACCGAACCCCAAGGTTCTTTACAAACATCTCTTCTGTTCCTCTGGAGAAAACACACAAAATTCCTTAGACTCTTTCCAATTTCAAAACTGTTCCAGTTACACTTAGACTAGGGGGAAAACACTGGCTTCCCGAGCTTCTAGCCAAAAGCTGTGCCAGTTAAACTTGGAGACAACACATAGTTCCCTGTTTCAACTAGGAGAACGACTTTCCAGGTTTCTCTCCAAAAACAAAGTCTATTCTGTTTAAACTAGGAGAACACAGACTTCCGTAGTTTCTCTCCAAAACCTAGTCTATTCTGTTTAGAGTGGGAGGAAACACCGAATGCCGTAGATTCTTTCCAGAAACCGACTCTGTTCCATTTTAGGCTACACAAAAACACCGACTTTTCTAGTTGTTTGCAAAAATCTGGTCTGTTCCATTTAGACAAACAGAAAACACCGACTTCCCGAGTGTCTCTCTCAAAACCTAGTCCATTCCAGCTAGACAAAAAGAAAGCACAGAATTCTCTGGTTGGACCTAGTCTATTCTGTTTAGACTAGGGGAAAACATCGAATTCCCTATTGTCTTTCCAACAAAAACCGTCTGTTCAATTTAAACTGGGAGAAAACATTGAATTCGCTAGTTTCTCTGCAAAAACTGGTCTATTCTGTTTAGCCAACACCGAATTCTCTAGATACTGTCCGAAAACCTAGTCTGTTCCATTTCGACTCGCACGCTCGCACAGGCAGTTCCATTTGGACAAGGAGAAACACCGACTTCCCTCGTTTCTAACCAATAATCTAATCCGCTCCAGTTACACTAGTAGAAAACACAGAATTCTCTGTTTTCTCTCAAAAAACCTAATCTATTCTGCCTGCCTAGACCGGGAGAAAACACCGAACTCCTGAAGGTGCATTAAGCTTCAGCCTTGCGGCCCTACTCCCCGTACATGTACGCAAAAATTTTGTTGTCGGCTGTGATGAGTCGGTTGCGGTGTCTTTCACGACGTTCATTTTCTGGTGTAGTTGCCGATTCTCTGTTTTAGTTGAGCGTGCGGCGTGGTCTAAGATATCAAACTCAGCCGCAGAACCTCGAAGAGGAAATGATGTCGGTCGTCCTGCAAATGGACGCACCAAGCGAAAGGCCGGTTTGCTATAACGAAGTGTTGCCGGCCTGCTGATGGCGAGTCTTGGAAGCTTCTCGCTCACCGCCTGCGCAACTTCTGCGATGGGACGCTATGTCACAAGCAGCCATTGACAAGGGGTGTACGCCGCCGCAGGTGAATCAAGGCCTTCAGTGGCAGTCTGCACTGCAAAAACCTGGCAGCTGCACACTCGACGTGTGCACAACATGCTATGAACCCTTTGCTACGTCAGGTCACTACGTTGCGAAGCAGATACCATGCCTCCCCGTCTTGACCTGACCGTTGTCGGCAGAGAGTCGCGCAAGTAAGCTGCAAAGCCTGGAGCTTGTCCTTGGCTCGGTCGCAACAGAGTACCATCTACAATCCAGCAGGGCCTGCTCGGCTCAATGACTCATTGTGGGAGTGCCAGGTTCACTACATGTCGCCTCACTTCCGCCTTGACATGCTTATACTCATACAATACTTTACAATACTTTCTTAAGCATGCCACTCAGATCGACCCATGGCTAGGAAGCTAGTGACGAGAAATGGGTCCAGAGCCGAGGGTCCAACGGCCAATCGAAGGAATCTGCCACAGCCGGCTCTGAGCTGTCACCTTTGCGCCGTTGTAAATGGCAGGCCTTGGCTAAAAGCACGTACGTTCAGATACGGGCCTCCCCGGCTCATGAAGCTCCCATGCCCCAATTCTCTAATCATTCTCGCTAATCTAAGCCAGGAGCCACCGCTTCATTCAGTCTCTCCAGCACTTCCGGTGTCGGCCGCATCGGATGAGATACTGTGCTGGCAGCCAGTGGCCGGCTGTGCCTCAACGACATGCAACTCCTGTAATGTCCCCCATCGGCCGCACATGAAGACATCGAAGCTCATGCTAAAACGAGCATGCTGAAACGGTGAAGCGCAGATGACAAACGGTTTCACACGGTAACCCGCCCCCCTGTTTGCTTGCAGAGAAGCCCCAGGTCTGGTCCAGCAACCGGCGCCGCCCCGAAGAAGCTACCTCAGAGAAGCTCGCCGTGGCCGAGTCCTTTGCAAGTTCACACCATCCGAAGTCTTCGATTCGAGCCAGGTGACCCAGGAATCTTGGCATCCACTTCCTCCAGGCCCGTGACGGCCGCGAAGGCGGGCGATGCCTTGCTGGGCACAGCCTCGGCTCGGTTCGGGAGCGTCCACAGTCCGGGAAAGTCAGGGTCTGAGCCCTGCACGCGAGGCTGCGCCAGGAGTTTTTGTCGGTGGCCCCTTAGCGCAAGGCGTCTCAAGGACCGCATTGCATGCTACTGTGCACCATGCCGCCAAGGCGCCACCCTTTGTCGTCTGGCCCACGGAACGGCTGAAGCCACTCGCCGCGGACGTTCCCTTGGCAAATATCGCGAGCTTCGGCGAGGCCCGGCTTTTCTCCCAAACTCTTTACTTTGCTGCACTGAATCTGCCAAGATAGCTTTTGCAAGAAGCAGGGGTGCTTGCCTAAGATATGAGTGGTCCTGCGGCGCGATGCTCCTGCTCATGTTCTGTCCTGCACTCGCCTCTTTCCATTCATTCCTTCTTGTGCTTCTTCCTTCTGCCTGTCGTGCTTTCTGCCGGTCCTTCCCTGCTTCCTCCTTCTCCTGTTTGATGTCGAGTCTGGTCCTCTCTTGTGCAGCATCTCATGTCCTCCCGGTTAACCAGAATGCCCGGCGTGCAGCCATCAAACAGACGAAGATGCTGCCCGTATCGAGCGGTGCTTTCGCATCGCCACAGCATTGCAGCACCACGGTGCCAGAACTGTCAGCAGCCAAGCAGCCATTGGTGGAGAGGTGGGGTTGGCAGATGCCTCAGAACAAGCAAATGACCATATCTGCAACTCTCTCTCTCTCTCTCACACGGACTCGAGTCGAGCATGCCGCGATGAAGTCATGTCGTTATTCGACATGACGAACCTCCCAAGCCTAAAGACTCTGCACACGATAAACCCAGGAAGGTGGAACTTGCTCAAACAAAAGAATTGGGAGCTGCGAGAACACCCTGCCCCGCATCGACGCCAACAAAGGCGGCAAGAAGGATGCATCAGAAGCAGCATGAAGCATCATTGCAAATGGCACATTACGAGTAGCAGCAGCCAAAGGCAGGTACTGCAAAAACCGATCCACGGCCATATCTGCAACTGCAACTCACAAACTATCCGAGTATGGAAGCAATTAAGCTGGAGGCGTGGCTCATGGCATCCTGCTGAGCTCCTTCACGAGCCACTCTTGGCGTACTTGGCTGCAGCATGCCTTAACATCGGCGCCTCGGAGCCACTGTGTGCCAGCTGCTTGTCGAGTCCGCATGCTCGGAGCGCTCGAGGCCGGTGTCTTGGCACCTACCTCGGCGAGGGACGCTGGCGCCGACACTCTGTCGATGGGGACGAATTGGCACAGCATGATACGAGTAGGCTGATATAGGCTGCAGGACAGGCAGGGCCAGGATGTGGGAGCATGTGCTACTTCCATCGTCTCAGCTTTCGGCATTCGCGCGGAAACTCGTCCCTCCCACAGTTCGATGACCTCGGCATGCTTTCCGTGAAGCCAAAGCGCATCTACGATGCGCCTGTGCCCCAAGCCTTGGCTCTTTGGAGCATCGCTTGGAGTGAAGGCTCGATTGAAGCGTCCCGGGTTGGCCCTGACCACCGGAGGCCGTGGCAGAGCCGGCACCTCAGACTACAAACATCCCTCAGCAGTGCCAGCACGGCTCGACAACCTCAGCAGAGCACCAAGACTCCTGTGGCCGTAGCAACTCCAATGAGCAACCTGCCAAAGCATGCAAAGCCAGACGATCGAAGCTGTTTAGCACCCTGCATATTCGACCTGGCACCTCCATTCTTCCCTCTAGAACATTGAAAGGCTTGCCGCCGCGGAGCGACGGACCGTTGGAGATCTCCACACGGAGGCCAAATGCTGCATTCAGCCCCATGACCTCAGCTAAAACATTCCGTGCATGCAAGGAAATATAGCACAAACGATGAGGAAGCAGCCCGCATCTTGTGCACAAGCCTCAGTGAAGTGCTCAGCGGTCTGCTGAGGCTCGTGAGGGTCCCTTCCCGCCCTTGGTCGGCTCAGCTTCGGGCTGCTTGTGCAGCTCTAACTCCAGGAAGGGCAATGCTTCAGAGAGGTCCTGATGGGATGGGAAGAACTACACTGGAGAATAGGAACAGCGCGGTACGTGACGTTCTCCTGGGCATGCGCTTCACCGGTCACCTTCCGCTTAAGGCGCACCACGCGGGCCTCGACCAGCTCGCTCCTCCGCACTGCGCAACCCAGAAAACGGCACAGCAGCTTCAAAGCAAAACGCGGGGGTCTCCTCCCGAGGATCGGCAGGCCCTCGGGGAAGTCCGAGGTCGCCTCAACTCAAAGCTGGCTTCAACCCGTCGGCTCCGAAAATGGCTACTTTCTTTTACTTTCTGCCGCGTAGCCAGGAGGACGTTCGGCACCAAGCCCTCCCCGCACCTGTCTTCCACCCCACTCTCCAGAACTCACTGCGTCTCACCACACCTGCTGCGCTGATGAATAGCCTAGCCAAGGCACATGCAGCAACGAGACAAACGTCCTGCATCATCACGGCCTTGCTCCAACGAATGGACTTTGCCCGCGCCCACTGCCACAATGCAAAATGCCTTGAATCATACTTTACATGTAAGGTCGCAGACTTTCGGAGGCATGAGCAAGGCTGCAGTCCTCTCAGCACGCACATGAGAAACGACGGGAACTGCAAAAAAGAAGACTTGATGCACGTGCTCACATGCAGAGCGGCATGGTTGACATACTTCAGTCCGGCAAGGTAGGCACCGTCGTGGCAGTGTGCAGGTGCCGTAGCGCCGTCCCCGTCACCGAAAGCATGGCCACCTGTGACAGGTTCCAGCGAAGGCTGCAGATCCAACTCTTTGACAGTGCTGGGCTTCAACTCTGAGCTTCTGACCTCGTCAGTGATGGACACGTGTTCTCGGTATCCAACCTCGGAACTTGAGCAGGCCAAGCAACATATCCCTGCCTTGCTGTGAACCCTCCCCGAACAAATGAGTGCTCTTCAATGGAATCGCCACCGAGAGCACGGGCCTCAAACTGCGCAGCCGAAGGGTCTGACACAATGCTCCGCTGATACAGCTGCGTCAGCAGGCGGTTATAGCTTCGTCGTGAGTTAAGTCCCGGACGTGCGACAGCAGCTCTTCCTGCAAGTCGGCCCACCTGAAAGCGCACGGGTTGCAGCCGCAATGCCCCACAACTACGACGAAGCGCTGCCAAGACACCACGACTCGCGACTGTCCTGCTGGAGGCAATCGTCTGATGCTTCATGTTCCGGTCCAACCGACACGTCTGTGGCTCTCCAATATCCGAGACTCTAAACTCTGTCCAAAGCCCCTCCTGCGTTGTGCGCGAGCTGAAGACCTTTACGGCACGGGCTGCCACGACGCCGCAGATTGCAACTCTCCTGTTAGCAACAGAGGGGCCGATGAAGATACCGAATTGCCTGTCAGTTCTAGTTCCATGCCGCCGAGAATCTCAGCTACTGGAAGCCGGTCCAGGCAATGCAAGACACCTCCCATTAGCAAGGCACGATGCCAGAGTTCGATTGGACTCTTGGTCGCAGAGTCGCAGGCCTCGCTGCAGCACCTCCACAGTCGGAGCCAAGGCATCCACGGCGCTGCCACCTCGGCGTGTGTTTAGTTTAGCCGCAGTCATGCCAAGGTGCACACAACGGCCGCCGCAGTTGTTGCTTGGGCCAGGACCGAGGCTGATTTCATCGCCTCGATAACAAGATGGAAAAGGGGAGTACAGCTTGTTCTCCACTTAACTTGGTTCACAATGAACAAGACAAGCAACTCGCAACTCGTAACTGCATCGCAACGTTTTGATGCCTGTTGTTGCGAGATTTCCGCACCTGCGGCCGAGTGCATCCGAGAGGCTGCTCCTTGTCACGGACACGGCTTGGCTGAGGAGGGCATCCGAGGCTGCTCCGCCTGCTCCCAATGCACACGTCTTCTCGTCGATGCCATGTGCACAATCTCAGGCTGTAGAGGCAAGTACATGCAAGAACTTGCTCCAACCTGAAGTCGCAGGTAGAAGGGGCAGTGGTGGATACGCCCCTTCGATGTCTCCATCACGGCGTCGGGGTGATCGCCCAAGCTGGCACAGAGTGCGACATGAGCCCAGCCCGCGTCTTCGACGGGGACCCACCTGGTCGAAGCTTCCCTGCCGTAGCCCGCTGACCATGCCGCCGGCCGCGCTGGTCGGCAGAATGCGCCTCGGGGTGCTTGGCTGCTTGGCATGCCCCGCAGCTTTCGCAGGCCATCGGCTTCTGAGTACTGGGCGCAGCAGTGCCGAAGGCTCGGATGCAAATTCGATCTGTGGCCTTTGCCGGATGCAAAACTGCCTTGCGAACAACATCCCCGCCACCGTGCAAAAGGCCCCGACGTCACCCTCGAGGTCGACATACTCGCGATACCCAAGCACTGCCTCAATTCAAGACGTCATCCCTTGAGGCTAACGGAAGCAGGCCGGATGAAGCCGCCGGCATTTGCACCGAGGCGTCTCACCTGAAGGCCAAGCAAAAGGTACGTTCTGCCACCACCAGAGCCTCCGATCTCACCTGCTTGCCGAGCTCTCGCCGTGCGCGCATCGCCGCATTGTGGAAAACCCTGCAAGGGATGCCACAGAGATTTCATGCGACTGCACTGCTTCATGCACTCGGTAGACCGGGCTTCATGTCCAGTACGACGTCGGTGTTGATGGGTGCAAAGCTCAGTCTTCTACTCGGCAACCCTATGCCCTACATGTCTCTGTAAGCACGAGACCATGATTCCTTGCACCTGGCACCTTGCACCTGGTTGGCTGAGTTCATGTGACATGTGACACGCCGAATCCGAACACGCCTGAGGCGCTCCTCGTTGGACGAGCGGTCCGACCGAATGAGGTCCCGCCAGTTGTACTCTGGGTCCTGGACTTAACTTGTCTTCAAATAAATCAAATAAGCTTATCGTCCCAAAACACCCTTTTTAGGCGTGGAATGGCGTGGATGCCGAAAGGCTTCTGACGCCCTTGTACGGAGCAAATGTCGAGCGTTTCGGGCTTGGGCAGGTAGGTGTTGGAGCCAACAGACAAGACATTTCCACGTTCAACCTTGACCGGCAGGCTATCCAAGCCTTAAATATCTCAGCCTGAAAACTCGGCCTCTGTCTCCGACGGCGAAATCTTACGACGCCGGCCGTCATACTTCCAGATGCTCTCGGCGCAAATGCCAACCTCACAGTCACACATCACCTTGATGCCATCTCGCATCATGGCACCAGCATCCTGGTTCACGCTGCCCTCCACCAAGCGCTCGTTGTAGCAGATTGTCTGCCTACTTCCCTAGAACGAGCCCGCATGGCATGGCAGGGTTTGTGGTAGATGACGAGTCGGCTTAGGATGAAGTCTACAGATTCTAGTGGTTCTCGAAGCGTGAAGTGGAAGGCCGCCGCCAAAGCGTTTGCCTTGCACCTTCCGAGATGTCAGTTGTCGAAGGTCGGGAAACCACCACCCACGGGCCGCCAGTCAACGATGCTTTTAGTTCCCTCGGACATCTTCTTGATGTGGCTGGGTGCATCAACCTTCTCGAAGGTCACGTGGAGATCGCGGTCGTCTGGCATGCAGGGCCATCATCCGAATCGCACGGGCAGGCAGACCAGACTCCGGTGCAGACTTGCTTACACTTGCAGCTTTGTGAACTCATGCTGGCACTGCCGTTGCCCATCCGGCAACGAAGTGAGTGAAGGTTGCGTGAATGAAGAAGGGGGGCCCGCAGGAAGCGCTCGGCGAGGATTGAGCGGGGAGGTCGGTCCGTGGCCTGCGGCCCCTCATTGCTTGTTCCGAAGTTACGAATGACAAGGTCCAATTGACTTGAACTCCCTAGCCTCGGCATCGTATGCCATGCTCCCCATGTCCGCATGCAGAAGAAAGTGGGCTACACTTTGCTTGCTCGCTTTTTAAGAGGTTGTTCCTGAAGCTTCTGCTCGCCGTACTCTCGCTGAAAAGACAACGGCCTAGACTGGCCTAGACTAAATTGATCCGGATACGAGTACGAAGGAGAAGGCAACGGCTGCTTCCACCAGGCGGTCCTGAACTGCGCGAAGCTCCTTCACCAAGCCGAGAACCTGCTCCACCACGAAGACGCCCGGCCTCTCTGGCAGCCACAGATGGCACAGGGACATGAGAGTCTTCTGCAGTCCCACTACCCTGGTACAAAGTTACCTGGTTCCTACGTGATCCTACGTTTCTTACCAGCAGTGATAAGCTTGCCGTGCAAGCCCGCCATGACAATCTTGGCAAGCAGGAGGGGGTTCTTGAGGTTGGTCGTTCTGCGGCCCCCGTTGGGTTCTGACAGAATTTCTTGGTCAGGCCATCCGCTGCCTGTATCACGCGGTTGATTCGAGCTTTGGGTTGCTACTCACGGGGACTGAGGTGGCGGCTGCGGGGGACAAGCGATGGAGAAGAAGCGCACACCGACAGAGGAGGCGAAGCCTCAGAGAATCAAGATGCTTACACACACTAGGCTCTAGATGATTCTGGTGACGGTCTGCTCTGATGATCTTTTGTGAACCGGAGGAACTGAAGCTTTGAGCACTTTCCGATTGCCCCAACCAGCCAAATGAAGACGAGACGTACAGTAACAAAACATTACAGCAACCCAGAACCACTCAGATGCTCGAGCGCTCTAAATGTGCTCAGTGTTTCCAACTCTTCCGTTGCAGCCACCAGGCGATCGTTGTATGACTGATCCCCGACAAACTGCATCTTGATAGAAACCTGACAAGACGGTGTCTCATGCAATCCTGCCACGACTTCGAGAATCTTTCTGAGACAGCTGCAAGAATGTGCCCGCGCACGCCCGTCATGGTGTCGAACAACGGGAACCAGCCTTTCATGCTCACCACTTCCTGAGAAGCCATGTGCCTAGCCGGCTGATGCCATTAACATCAGATGATGTTCCTCTGCTTCACGTATGCTTCACATATGCAAGCAAGGCTCATCTGGATCCATTTCCGTGCGGCTGTGCAGGATCTGCTCCAGATTTATGGTGACAAAGCCATGGTCTGGTGGTCCTCCAAGCAGCACAAGAAAGTGCAGGGAAGGAAGTCTGACTGAAAGTTGAAGCGATAAGCAACTCAATCTTGCTCGCACGGTCGTGCTCTACTCTTGCCTGCGTCAGAGCTGCAGACTCCCAAGCGCAGAGGATAGTCTTGCAGTTGGAAGTCCTTTGCTGGAGACATGGCTCGCATGCCATACGCAAGGCTGCAATGAGGTACGAAGTTGTTGTGTGCAGATTCAATCACACGTGAGCTGATGACAAGAAGGCAGCTTGCATGAGAACTATAGAGGTCTTCATCCATCGAAAGATCAGCAGGCATCGAAGGGTTTGTGCAAAGCACCGGTCTTTTCAGTACCAGCTACATCTGCCGAAGCTCCCGATGTCTTTGTCTAAAGTGGTAAACACCTTCTTGACTGCAAAGAACAGTGGCTTCGACTTTGTTAAAGTCAGCTCGAGTTCGCCACAGGTTCTCGAATCACAGCTTCGTATGGCTATGTTTACTCGACCGGTCTCTCGCTGAAACAATAAGCAAGGACAGGAGACATCCGTGAGTTCGATGGACATGACCGAGTCTCCCCAGACCTGCTGCAGCCATGCACAATGCTTGCTCAACTCACCTCTGACATGTCAGCCGAGATGCAGGGTTGCTTGGTGAGCCAACACTCCTCTGCGACATCCGCACATGATCGTGAAAAGAAACTTCGACGTACTTGCCATCCTGCAGAGAACGAAAGAAGGTAGAGTAGGCCGACGCTATGCGAAGAGCACAAGACGGCCTCGTCGCGGTCACAGTTCAAACCACGCGCTTCGTGAAGCCGCAGCTTGATGGCACAAGGCCTTGCTTTGTGTTGCAGTTCGGCACGTTCAGAATCGTCAAGCAAATCGTCAACAACTGCCACCTAGATGCATCCCTCACGTCGCCGCACTGCTCCAATGAAATGCACCATGATGGCCACAGCGGCAGCGCATAGCCAATCGAGTGTTGTTGATTTCTCCGGTGAGATTTGTGCCTTTTTATACACCCTCACGACTAGCGGGTGGGGGAGGGTGAACCATGATTAACCTATACAGTAGCAACTACGGGGAACCCCCCCAAAAAGACAGCAAGGTGCTTTGTGAGTACTCTAACTTGCTACAGAGCTGTGCCAACGGCGCCGTCGCCTTAATTACCGGAGCGTCTTCCAAGTGCCTCAGGATCCTGGCTGATCAGGAGCTGCGACTGGCTGGCTGGTGTGGTATACACACGGAACCTAAGCACTACTGAAGAGCCATGAATTCTGCAAACCCATGAGTTGAATCTCTTCAACTATCTTCAAGACAATGTCGGAATGCTGAACACGCTGCGCAGGAAGTATTGTCGAAGGCCACATGCGTTGCATGAAATGGACCAGGCAAGAGCCTTTGCGCCCGACTCTGGAGCCAGCTGGGCCCTGGCTTACTTGCCGCCTGAGAAGAGAGCATCTGGAGCTTTGGCGATCGGGCCCCGGTTTTTTTGAGGCAGCACCCAGCATTTGGAACTTGCGTGGTACTGCTCTTCTGCAACTCCTCTAAGGTCCTCGAGCACTTCGAGGTGGACTTTCAAGGCTTGCCTGGACTACCTCCTACACGAGGGTAATCTGGCAGCCTGCCTAAGTTGGTTCGGACATCTGTATTGTACAAGGCATGCAGGAAAGCTTCGAGCAGTCTTCTGCTGCAAGCTTGGCATGTACAAGTTCGCCCTTCATGGGACGATTCGGAAGATCCGGGCTGATGAAACAATGAAGCCTTCTTGCCAGCGCATCATACCGGACGGCGGCACCAGCGTCTGAACTTTTACGGTGGGGTTAAGTTCTGAATAAGCCATTGCCGGAGCATGGCGTCCGCGAAAGCATCGCCCTCCACTGCATCAATGCCCATCATGTTCATTTCTCGAGGGTCCTTCTGTGGCATGCCCGCATCGATGCGCGAATACCTGCAAAAGGTCTAGCCGCCTAGCCTGACTAGTCTAACTGCAAGGGATTTTTGCTGTGGAGTTTTTCGGGGACCGTTTCAAAACTTCAGGGTGTTGCGAGGCTGTGGTGCTGCTGTGTTTGGTACCCACCGGAGAAGAGGGTAGTGGGATATGGCTCGACGTCTGATTCCCCACTTGAAAGCAGATGTTGCTCACATCTTGCAAGCAGAGCGGCAAATGGCGCCAGAGCCCAATACCATCGTCCAGTCCAACCTCCGGCATGGCTCTCAGCTCTTTGGTTTCTTCCCGGAGCTCCCGAACGATAATGTGGCTGTCAACGCTGGCCTGTGCATGCTGCAACGCACACACACACAAACACAAACAAACACACACACACACACACACATATATATATATATACACACACATACACCCGCAATCAAGCATTGAACAATATTCAACAGCTCGCTGCGTTGATACGCTGCTGAGATACCAGCTGCAGCAGTAGTGGTTAGCAGCAGCACAAGCAGCACCAGAACCAAGCGATGCAAGCAAATCAAACGTTACCATGTCATCCGCGGCGCCATTTTCCAGACTCCAGCATCCAGTTCTCTTTGGAGCTGATTGCGTCCCCAGCCACAGTAGCCAAAGAACCTGTCCGGCCACGTGCCGCTACCAAGACAACAGGAAGAGGTCTCTTACGAAGATCCACTGATTCTTGCACTTTAACCGACGCTTGAGCTCAGGCCTACTATCGTACAAGCAATAAACGACAACAAGCAAACACGCAAAGGAACAGCATGAAGTCGTCTGTTGTGGCACGCCCCTGGCTCACCAGATCTTGCGCAGCGTCGAAACGGATCAAATACACGCCCCTTTCAACCTCCGTCGATGTCTCTGCAAACTCCTCTGACACGTGCAGACAGAAGGTTCTGACCTGGGTGTAGTGGGGTGCACGAAGGCCCTCGCAGTCGCCACCAAACCAAATGTTCCAAGCCGGGCCAGGCATTCCAAGCTGGCGAGTGTTGAACCCCGATGGGCGGTTAATGATAATGCCTTTGTCGAACTCCCCACCGTGCTTGAGAATGAGAATTGCTGACTTGTGGAAATATTGCTGGTGATCGATAAATGTGTCACCCGGCCGTGCCATCAGCACGCATCCTTTCTGAATGACAGGTGAAGAATATACAAACTCCGGCGCGGAATTGGTCGCGTAGCGCTCGTCCAAGAAGCTGTTGCCTGCCTGGTAGCCAGCAAGTCCCGACAGGATGAGTAGCCACGCAATCTTGCGGCGATTGTTCGCTTCCGGCACATAAGGCGGTCTGGTGTCGCGGCGCTTGCCTACCAAACGCCGGCCGGGAATGTATCGGGACCTTGCCGCCAGCTCCGCGGACTGTGCCGACACACGCACACCTCGGTCGCGATGATTACGCGTCGTCATTGCCTGGATGCCAACGAAAGCAGAAATCCGGGCGCTCGCCACATCATGAACGATCAAGACAAGGCAAACCAGAGGGATTAGTGCAGCAGCACGTCGCAAGCTGGGCATCGCAAAGAACTAGGCCTGGCTGAATACAGGCATCTGGACCCTTGAGGCAAAAGAAAGGCGACGCCGAATTCAAACACGACTTCCTGACTCATTCCGCAGCTGCTTGCACTCGGGCCCCGACGTTGCGGTTGAGCCAGTTGCACCTCTCATAGGCGCAACTGAACATAAACGCATGCATGCCTCCACCTGGTGCTGTATGTAACAGGAGCCAATGCGAGCCTAGGACCAGGCTTGCGACGGCTTTCTGCGAGCCCTTGCGCTCGATCTCCTCGAGACCGCGCTCGAACCATGACTCCATCCAAAGAGCGGACACCCTCCTGCATCCGGGTGAGCAAGCGGCGGTTCTCCTTTTCGATGCTTGAGTAGCGCTCCTTCGACACAGCGGTCATCACAAGGCTCCAGACTTAGGGCGACTCGGATATGACGCGAGAGTAGCGTAAGCAATCCCAGAGGCTCCAAATAGACTACCATTATGGACTTAGGTCCCTAAAGCCATAATAGGTATGGTCTTTTGGGACCTAATTCCATAATGGTAGTCTATATGGAGCCTCTAGGAATCTCTCACCCTTTTTTAAATGCCGAAGGGTCCTCAGCCTGCTGCTCCTTCTTGGCGTTCCGGAACCGCGTGGGCTGCAGCTTTGTTTCTTCGCCTCTCAGGCTTCAGAGCTCAAAATTTCTGCCAACACTACAGGGTTTTTTGCCTCCAAGACTGTAGGGTTTACACTCTCACAACTCGGACAATCCAGGCGAGGATCCATAGGTGCATAAGTCGGCGTGACACTGCAAGCTGCCCAGACTGTAGGGTTTAGGGTTTAGGGTTTAGGGCAGTGGGAGTCCGGAAATTGCAATTGCCTCCACCTGTGCTGCTGCTTACGTACTCTGGACGCCATTGAATGTCCAAGACGCAGGTCGCCGGAACAACTTAACTTACAGTGCGGGAAACTAGTCACTGCACTTGCAGATTCTAGCTCGATCCGGGCGCCCTACGCACAGACCATTGATTGTTGATCAAAGAGCGAGACCTGGCGCACACCGCCGAGACAAGCATCCTAGCATGCAGGCGTCTTCGGTTTGTAAACCGTCCAAGCAGTGCACTTGGCACGTCGCTGCGAATAAACTTCAAATCGGACATGATCGGACGCCTTGCGACCTTTTGCTTGTGCGCCTGCACTCGAAGTCGCTGCTCAAGGCGGCATTGAGAAAGGCAGTCCCCGCCTCCAAGTGTCTCTGCCTGACCCACACCTCCACTTTTTCGTTGCAGGCAGGCCTTTCGACAGGCGGCGCTGCAATCTTACTCCTGCCATGCGAGAACCAGGGCGAACCTCTTCGAATCGATCCTGGGCCCGACCAAAGAAAAACAGAGTAGGGGCGGGCGGCATGCGCACTGCCTTTGTCTACTAGTAGTATATTATAGCTTAGCCTCCAGGGTGCAACCTGTGAAAACAAGGTGCCAAGCTGGCCTTCGAGCAGATCCCGCAAGGACACGATGCAAAAGCTTAGACTCTACTTGCTGCCGAAGTGCGAAGTACCAGGCGCCATGCCCGCCAAGCACGGGCCTCAACGGAAAACCAGGAGCAGAGACTTCAGAAAATCTAGAAAGTACCCATGGGCCCCATAGTATTTCCTTTTGGGGGTATTTGGGTTACCTTATAGGATTCTATATATTAACCCCAAACAGGAACTACTTTAGGGCCTATGGGTAACTGTCATGCTCACTGGCTTGCCTTGGATCGTTAACGCCACTATCCGGGGCAGCCCCTAGAAGCTTGAAGCAGACGGATGGCATTGCGCAAAAGCAGTCAATCGCGCACCCGTAACCATCGATGCATGCAGAAAGGGAATCGAAGACAGAAGCTATCGATCACCATGCAACACACACTTGGCACTTAATCGCAGATCTGCTCCGAAGCAGTGAGGTCGCAAGTTCAAGTGCGCAGGATGACCCTAGAAGGATCTACCTGTACGTCTGTACGTCTCGTAGAAACATAAACCGTTAGCATACTTGGCTCATCGGCGAAGCTGCCTCATGACACACAGGTGCATAATGGTTCGCTGAAGCAACAACAAAACTCGAATGCCTCTGTGTAGCCCTCCTTGTTCTACAAACTTGCAACTTCGAGCTAGTCCGACTAAGTATGCCTGACAAAGCACCCGTGCTTTTATTAAGACAGCCATCGCCCCACCCCCACCAACGTCCCCCCGAATAAGCAACTCAACTCGACATGACCGCTTCACAGACTACGTAACCATTCAGCTTATGCACTTGGGACAGGGTGTCGCAGGGCTGAATGGCGCCCGTGAAGAACTGACATGTCATGTCACTTAATTGACCTTAATTAATTTCCTGGCTGCTCCGCCAAGAGTGAAACATCGCACTCACATTTGAAAATGGACTTGCTGACTGCAAGACACATGACTCCGCTGATCCTGGAGCTTCCAATCGCCTGATCACAGGCAACGGAGGACTCGCCCGCAACGTCGGGAATGCTGCTTCCCAGACCTTCCAGCAGTCCGGTCCGAAAGGCCAAGAGAACTCGGTAGAACGGGCCACCTCGCTCTCAGCTCACTTGAGAAGGCGAGGACCTCAAAAAGACAATGCATCACGCCTTTGCCTGTGCACTGCAACGCGATGCTTCCTCTGCTGTTTCGGGCTTTTGAGATCTTTTGAGTGAAGGGCGCGCTTGGATCAGAAGAGGCAAAGCTCCAGATTCCTGGCAGCATGCCGAGGCACAGAGCGAAGACATCATAGGCCTCTGCTTTTGCTCTCATGGCTGCAAAGCCACCGACATGCAGCATCTTGTAGCCCCTGATTGGCTCAGCACCTGCCCCCTTAAGAAACCCTCGAAACGCAGCCTGTCCACACAGCACTGATCCACCTCGGAAGCCAACTGTCGCTTCGGCAACATATGCATTGCCTTGATACTTCCGCCGTGCAGCCCATCGCCCCCGCTCTCGGGAACGCCTGCGAAGCAAGGCAGCAAAAACCGCAACTGCCAGTCGCTTCCGGGCTTCGGCCTGCGGGCATCGCGTCCCTTGGATCCTCGGGCCTGGCGATGGTACTGGCGGTGGTTTCAGCCCCCGAAGCACTGGGCGGCTCTCCGAGTCTTGGCCTTGGCCACGTCGGGCTGATGGGGCCTTCGAAAGCGATCGGGACACGACTGCCCCTTAGCATTAGCCTTCCCCCAGGGTTCTGGGCCTCTCTCCACAGGCTCCCAACCACGAGGCATTTTCGGAAGTCTCCTTTTGCAATCAAAACTTCGGGCTGTGCCGATGCTGGGCTGTGCCGTCCTCGTCTTGCCCGGAGATCCCCAGCCCTTCAGCGGTCGCTCCGTATTCCTGCAGTTTCAACGATGCAAGGCATGTATCTTTTCTTCATGTCGTCATGCTCAGCATCTACAAACAGTGGCACATAGTGTCCTCCAAAGGGGAGGACTCATCGGACCTGGACAAGACCACGATTTCTGCACTTCCTGCACCTCGTAAGGCTGCGTACCATCTGATGCGAGGCACGACAGACAAGCTTTTCTCCGGAGCGGCAATCCGTTTGTGAGACAAGCAGGAGCTGCTTCTGCTTGCGGCGGCCGTCCGGGCTCTGTGTACGATCCGGGTTGCGTCAACTTCGTACCCGGTGGCATCTTGTTCGACTTCGTGTGTGGACAGGAGCACTGCCACGTGTTGCCCGGCATTCTGGAAGCAGCTGCGGCTAGCGGCTAGGGGCTAGTGATGTTTGGCCTCCTCCTCCTCACCGACCACTCCAGCAAGCACCAGGCCCACAAACAGCGTCAAGCCGGCAACCAGGGTTATGGTTATCAGACCCGGAATCTTCAACGCCCAGATGCGTGGGGGGAAGGCTGCATGCAGCCATGGAGCATCTTCGGGCTCCCACATCGGCAACAACAATACCCACAGTGTGTAGTACAGGAAACTCACTGCGACACTGCAAAACAGAAGCAGCCCGGAGACGGAGGCCATTGCAACGTGTGCAAATCATCGCATGCTTGCTTTCGTGTTGGATGCACGTCAATGGTTTTCATCGCGGCAGCAACTCTCTCGTGCTTCTGGTCCACGGCTGCTCCACTCTCTTGATGGCTGAAGCTCAAGCTGCAGAATTACGGTTGTTCAAGCGATATCCACCCTCTTGCAGCAAACTCAAGTCGCAAATCATGTGCTTGTTATTGAGTGGCCGACCGGAGTCTGCATGCGAAGATCCCTGCAACCAAAAACGCTGCCTGCAAACACCTTCTCATCTGCAGATCTGGAGGCTCTGGCAATGGAGTAGCCAGAAGGAGCCTTCTCATGTTCAAAAGCTGTTTCATAACGCCGAGAATACCGGCGAGCTGAGCTCGCAGCTGTGCTTCGACTGCCTAGAGGGTCGAACGAACATTTTTCGCGCCTTTAGCCGTCCCTCGTTATGCCCAGCCTGAGCTCGACATAGTCGACTCCGACTGAAAGCTGCTTCGCGAAAGTTCGATCGTCCTTTCGGTGCAAGTGGCGAAAGGAGAGGCAAAGGCGCCCGTCAACGGCGACTTGTAGATGTCATGCGGACTTGCCATCTGCTCGCTAGATCTCAGAGAGTCAGTTCAATCCTTACACGCTTTGAGGCCTAGGCTTGTCTGTGTCGGGGCAACCCCATCCACGCCTGAGCAAAGGAATCGCGGCCAGAAGCACGTAGTGATTCATGCGGCTGCATTTGCCGAGAGATAAATGTGGGACTCGAACAGCTGCCGCACTCTCGTTTCTGAAGCCTTCGGAAGAGGACTCGCCAGTAGCAGCACGGGCGCAGAGACACACGCATGGAAGCCATGGCGCAGCACCGCTGGCCTTCTTGGAGCTGGCCACACCGGGAGGGCCTCCTGCACAAGCTCAATGGTCCCAGTCGCTACAAGTAGCTCAAACTCCCCAGCCTCTGATATCTCCGCTCCACTCATCAAGCTCATCCAGTCGCAGGAGCGCCTGCAACTGCCAACATCCAGAGAAAGCCTGCGATAGCCAAAAGGGGC